TCGTGACATCTAGTCCTTTCTTTCTGATTTTCTTTTGTGTACTTACCTGTTTCAAATCTTTTTCATCTTTTGTTCCATTCTTCTTGTTTTATTTTTTGAGCAGTTACATTATCATTAGAAAAAGAAGAAAAATTGACATTTACTGTTGGTTCCACTTTTGGATGTCAATTTTTCTTTTTCTTTACCATAATATGACTGCAGAAGCAAGGACATGTTTTTTTCTCAATTTATTCTGGCTATCTTTTTCTTCTAGTCTAGGAAAACATTTTCTTCCTAAGAAAGGAGCCTGTTGTGGTGATGCAGAAATTTATGCCGCCTATAATAGCTTATAGCATGGACCTTAACCTTGTACAAACAGTGAAAAAAGAAATTGTCTGCTGCAGGAAGCCATTGAAACCACGATTGCTTGTTCTGCAATGGCACTAAAAGAAGAAGAATTAAAGGAACAGAGCCGATCTCCTAAAAGCTCCTTGGCTAAGTGGAAACGAAGAGGTATAATAGGTGCAGCTGCAGTAACTGGAGGAACCTTGTTGGCAGTTACTGGTGGTAGGACATTCCAGACTTTCTTAAGTTTCTTAACTCAGGTCCTGACATGTTTAAGCAAACATCTTAGGAAACAGATTTCCTTGTCCTTGCGACAAGCCTTACAGAAAACAGATGTCTTCTCCTTATAGTCTTCATAAGATGTATAAAGAAGTTGGAATGTGATTGTGAGGAGTGCTCATAGGAGACGAAGTTGTTGTAATTTTGTTGCCTTTATTTTGTTCGTGAACAGGTTTAGCTGCTCCAGCAATAGCTGCAGGCTTTGTTGCTTTAGCCCCTACCTTGGGAACTCTTGTTCCTGTGATTGGAGCAAGTGGGTTTGCTGCCGTTGCTGGTGCGGCAGGAAGTGCTGCAGGATCTGTTGCAGTAGCAGCTTCATTTGGAGGTAACCACATGTTTCATAAGATCTCTCATCATAATGGAGATAGGAGAGAGCAACTTGTGATTTTGCACTTCTCTTTTCCTTTGATAAGGTAATGTAATTTCCTCAAGATAAGTACCAAAAAGGTACCCAAAATTACAAAAAGATGGTGGCAGGAACACAATCACATCAGTAGCTCATACAATTCAAATATAAAATGGATGATCTAAATCATTTGAGCAAGTGCTTTTGCACTTCTCAGGCAACAAGGTTTAGATTGATTTGTGGAATCTGAGCATCTTTAAATTATCCAACAATTACTAAGGGTTGTCATCGATATTTTTGCTTATCCAGCTGCTGGAGCTGGACTCACAGGAAGTAAAATGGCCAGGAGAATGGGAGATGTTGATGAATTTGAGTTCAAGTCTATAGGAGAGAACCATAACCAGGGTGTAAGTAATTAGCTTTTGTGTGTTCTACTTGAAATTTTCCTGTAAGGCCAGCAGTTTCTCGTTTTTAGTTGGTAGGTGGGCCATTGCAGTCTGCATTGTGTCTCTTCGAGTTCTTTCATCTTTATTCTCATAGTTGCCATACTTTTTAGTTTTAGTCATGGACCACAGGAGCTCAGCTATGTTTGTTCTCACTTTGCATTTTTGCTATCAGCGGCTGGCAGTTGAGGTTTTGATCTCAGGACTTGTTTTTAAGGAAGAAGATTTTGTAAGACCTTGGGAAGGACAACATGATAACTCTGAGAGGTAAAATATCTTTTTTTTTTCTTTTTTGTTGGTTGATCTCCATTTGGGTAGATGATTTCGTTTACCTGGTAAACATAAAGTTTATTTCTAATTTCTTATCACCCCCCTCCACCCCCAACCCCCCCAACCCCAACCCCGGTCGATGAAGGCTTATAATGCAGAAACCACTGTTACATTTCTCATTTTCTTCAGATATGTGCTGCAGTGGGAGTCAAAGAATCTTATTGCTGTAAGCACTGCAATTCAGGATTGGTTGACGTCAAGTAATAATTTGTACTTTGCTTTTTAGCATATGATACATAGACCAGCTACATTACCACTGTGATCGGTTATGATGCTGACATCATCACTAACCACAGGACTTGCAATGGAGTTGATGAAGCGAGGTGCTATGATGACAGTTTTAAAAACTCTCTTGACAGCATTGGCTTTGCCAGCGACATTGCTTGCAATGACAGATTTTATTGACAGCAAATGGGCAATTGCCGTGGACAGGTTCTTTTTTGTCTGTGTGTCTGTTCAGTACAATCTCTTTTTTGAGCTTGGGGTTGGGATCAAGGAGGAAAAGGTTATGAAGCTGTTTTATCTTCCGTTTGTCTATATGATATGATTAGAAGTAAAAGGATAAGATTAATATAACTGCAGTAATGATGTAAAGAATCTATACCTGTATAGGTGAACTCAAACTGTTTACCAGTTTTCTCATTAGTTTTTGTTTGTCCCTTGCAATTCTTATCTTTGAATTTTCTGTATTTCCATCTTTTGTTTCAGTATTAATTCTGGCTCCAATTTTGCCTCTGCTTAAATTATCAAGCAGTTTTACTGTGATATTCTGTTAGTATGTCAAAGCATTGTCTCCTACTTTGATTTTAACTTGTTGTTTATTTCAGATCGGATAAGGCAGGAAAACTTCTGGCAGAAGTGTTGCAGAAAGGATTACAAGGAAATAGGTAAACAGTCTTGAATAGATTCTGAGCATTTTCCAGTTGAGTCTCCTGGAAGATTGAGTTTTCACATCAGCCAACTCTATTGGTTGTCCATGAATATTTCAGGCCTGTAACACTTGTTGGGTTTTCACTTGGGGCAAGAGTTATCTTTAAATGTCTCCAGGTTCTGGCTGAGAGTGCGAATACTTGTAAGTTTTATTTTGAAATATGTTTTTTTTTCTTACATTTTATCATTTTCAAAGATGATCCTAAAATATTTTCTTGTATTTTGACAGCTGGCCTTGTGGAGAGAGTTGTTCTTCTTGGGGCACCCATTGCAATTAAAAGCATGAACTGGGAAGCAGCTAGAAAGGTTTTTGCTTCCCACTTTATTCATATCATCTACTCTTATTAGTATGAGTATATTTTTCTCCTTCCTCTTTATAATTTGTTTTCTCTAGTATAAGGATTGTACTTATCTGCTCGCTCACCTCATTATTATTTGAGGATCCCTCTTCTTATTTTTACAGGTAGTGGCTGGTCGATTCGTGAATGCTTACACTACAAATGATTGGATGCTAGGAATTGCCTTCCGTGCCAGGTTTGCCTTAGTTGCAAGCATAGTACTGATGTTGAAAGTTGAATTGGGCATAATCTGTCTTAAACCTATTCCCTTGCACCCCCTTCAATGTTGCATATGGACCAGCACAATTATTTTGTTATATATTGAAAATATGAAATGTTCATCTCTTGAAAAAATATGGAGTCATATTCCGATAATTTATTATGTTGTAGGACAATAAAACAAGGACAAAACTGTTTTGAGAGAGTAAAGTTGGGTCACGTAAAACACTTCATGTCATTTTTTATCCTGTGTCTGACTCAAGAAAGGTATTCCAGTTAAGCAGGCTAGAGTGCAGGCTACATTCTCGAATTTCTGAACCTATGAGCCAATTTGGGTTGGACCAGCTAACTCACAGGGCATATCTGGATTATATAAAAAAAAAGCCTATGAGAACACTTCATTTAAGAATAGTGCACAATGACTCTGGGATAATCCAAAATGGAAAATAGGACTAGTTGTGGATGGAGGGAGAATATGTTCTCTGTTTCACATGCTGTTTTATGCTTCTATTTCTGGGTAACTTGTGCAATTTCTCTAAACAGTCTCCTGACTCGAGGCTTGGCTGGAATTCAACCGGTTGATGTTCCTGGCATTGAGAACGTAAGTCTTCTTCTTAAGGATAACCAAATTTGGATCTCCATCATTTTTTGCTTAAAACCTCTCACTTTTAACAGGTTGATGTAACTGAACTCATTGATGGCCATTCCTCCTATTTATGGGCTACCCAAAAGATTTTAGATCTACTTGATCTTGATGCCTATTATCCGGTAGTCCTCGGTCGAGTCAAGCTATAAAGACAGACGTGGCAACACATTTTCTTCCTTAGATAACTGTATTTTAGGGGATTGTATCTGTTACAGGAAGCACATAGATAGCCAGTTCATTATATAACCACTAACAGGGTTCTAGTCTGGTACTGTTACGTTTATTCAATATTTTCATCTCAACTTTAGTGATTTTGTTTAGCCGTTTGTTTATCGGAAATGGTCTGTCCATAGATATTCCATCCTTTCCAGGCCTCAGTTGTGGTAATTTACTGGTATGTTACTATTGTTGTATACAGTATATCACATATAAGCTTTGTGCTTATGAATAATATATCAAGAATATGAAATTACGATTCTCTTGCTCTTTTTATTTATTTGATTTATGCCAGATTGATTTGAGAAGTATTAGTGTTTTCTGGATAGTGAAATTTTAGAAAATAACAGTAAATACTTATTCATTTTAGATATTTACTGATATGTATTGATTGTATAATGAATAGTTAACTGCCAAATTTCACAAATCAACTATCAAAGTCAATTTACAAATTTTTAGTTTAGGATAGAGGGAAGTATATCACGAAGTCATTGCGATGTAAAGCTTTGGTATATGAATATGTATCAATATAAATAATTTCTACTTTAGGGTTAATCGTAGGGTTTTAGATTATTCTACTCTTTTTTAATATATTGAGAAAGTGAAAATGACTTTCTTCTTACTTCTTCAAATATTTCATTTCATTTTACTAGGCCTAATTTTCGCCTTTTGGATTTTCAGTGAGGTCATAAAATTAAAAATCATATTGATAATTTAAAATTACTTGCCAATTTATTCTATCAAATACTATATAATTGTATATATCCGGGTTCGAATCCCTTAAAAGCCTAGGTCGAGTAACAATAAAAAGTAAAACGCGCTTGAGAGTTGAAGGAAAGAAAAAAAATAAAATCTGAATCCAGTTATTTTGCTGTGGAGAGCCAAGGCGAGGAATAAACAGATGCGGGAGGAGAATGGTACGATCGAAAAAGGCAGCAGTTGCCGCGTCGACGGCAACTGCAAAAGAGTAAATCCAATCAACGAGACCGGAGCCGGAGGAACAGGCTCCGGTGAAGGCGTATCTTCATCTCCGGCATCTTCGTCGTTGTCATCCAAGAATCAAGGAAAATCATGCAAAGGATGTCTATATTACTCGTCTACTTTCAAATCCAATTCTCGCAATCCTCTCTGTATCGGCCTTAGTAGTTCCCTTCCTCAAGGTTCGCCTTCTAACTTTTTCTTGATTTTCTTGTGTATCGTTACTTTCTTATCGTGCTTCTCTTTTGCTAATTTAATTGCTTCAACTGATTTCTTTTTCTGTTTTTCTTCGGAACACAAATTTCATAAAAGTAATTAGGATTCGTTGAATTTGCAGCTTAATATGAAAACATTTTTCAGGGTACTGGTGAACTTTCAGTAGCTAATAGTTAGTTGCTCAGTAGAAAATGTAGAGATTCTAGTTCTTGAGAATCCCTGATTGGTCTTAATTGGCAAATTATGAGTATTGGAGCAGAATGAATGTTGAGGATTCGTACATTCCACCATCTAGTTTAGAATTGAGGTGTAATTAGTACCAATAGTTATTTTTAATCCAATTTGGTCTAACTGTGGGTTTCATGCTATGTTTGTTATTTCATAAACTCTCTCTATATTTGATAAGAAATCAATCCCGAGTCTAACTCAACCCCAAAAGCTAACTCAATGCCAAAAGCTAACTTAGAGGTGATGATTGTCTAAAATTCCAATAAGGAGACCAAATACCAAGCTCAACAATATTGGTAGTAATACATGTAACTTATGCTGTAATACTCTGAATGACTAAATATTTAGCATTTTGGGCAGGTGAATTAGGTCTGGTCTAGTTATTCCATGTCATATGAGCTATCCTTCTTATAAATGGCTCTGTGAGAAACAGGAAGTTAGAATTCTTGACTTAACGTGCTCAGTTGTTGGGTACATAGCCTCTGCTACTGTATCTTATTATAATTGAATGTTGAATTAGGTCTGTTCTAGTTATTCCATGTCATATGAGCTATCCTTCTTATAAATATTTCTGTGGGAAACAGGAAGTTAGAATTTCTTGACTTAATGTGCTCAGTTGTTGGGTACATAGCCTCTGCCACTGTATCTTATTATGCATTGAATGTTCTGCTTTAATGTTTCCATTTTTCGCATAATTAAAAATTAGACCTGTAGTGGATGTGTGCTGAGACTGGTTTTGATGTTTGTTAAAGTACCTCGATATATTGTTGGGGAATCCGAGAAGGAAGCTTCTAAAGAGGGTCGGAGCTTTACCGATTTTAGATATGCTTGTGTCGGTTATTCTGTTTACTTGGATCAGAAATCTCGATCAACTGAAGCTCAAAAGGCACAAACAGAATTGCCTGTCTGTGTTGGCCTTGAGGTTAGCATTCTCCTCTTTCTATTTTCTAGTTCGCTTCATGCCTTGTTTCGTGTTATGATGTGTTCTAGGATAAGTATGGAGAAGTAAACAATTTATTTCTGCTTGAGATGCCATGCTTTTAGTGATTTAAGATACCGCGAGTATGTCCATAGTTGTCTTTTACTTTCCTCTTCTGACCAGTATTGTGTTTACGTGCGATTTGACCTTTGACAGAATAGACAGGAAGATACTTGGCCCAGAATAACTTTTTGTTTTCTGTGTCATCATTTCTGGTAATCCCAATTTTATTTTGCTAAACTAACATAGAAAGCGTGCCATAGGTTTTGGTGGATAAAAGACCCACTTCAGCTGATGCAACTCCTGGCCATACTCCTGCTCATAACAGAGAAGGTGACTACCTCCTCTCATTTTCTCCACGCCTAAAAATATATTTAATGTGATGCTTATATGCTATTGCCTGTGTGTTTAGGGTGTTCCTTCTTCATATGGATGTCTAGTTTTGGTTCAGACATTTTGTTACATAGGAATGTGTTCTAGTTCCAATTTCCTGATATTTAAATTTCCAGTAACATGTTTTATTAATTAATTACATGCCTCTTGAAAGTTTATTCACATTTTAACCTACTGCATTTCCTGTTCTTTGTTAAAGTAAAAAAATATCCAGAAATATCCTTTATCAAAAAATCCTCATTGAAAAATCAAAATTACTTTTATTTGTTGATGAAGAACTTGCTTGTTCATGTCAGTTTAAAGTCCAATCACCGTCTTAAGTGTGGGATCCGCATTATAAATAAAATAATGGGCATCCCAAAAGATCAAGGTTATTGAATTTAAAGCTTTGCATCCAGAATAGAGTGGTTGGTTTGACCTTTTGAGGTTCTGCATGATAGAGCTTAAAGCCTCAGTACAGAGACAAAAACTACCAATGCAGAGCTGATGCGGAATTATTGCACTAGTTTTGCAGTGCTGGTCTCTGTTCTTCATAGTTCAAGTAAATCATACTAAGACGGTTCTAGATGCGGTGTTTAAAAAGTATGCCTCCCTAGAGTCCACCCAACTGTCGATGCAATATGGTATTTCCTCTTTATGTAAAGAAATAAGAGTGTTTATAAGATAATGTTTCTGATTACTAGGATTGAATTCTCGGCTGCTTCAGAAAGTTCTTATGTTCATCACTCTCCATTAAAGATGTTGGGGTCCTTAAATTCTTTTTTCCTCTTGGTGCCTAGCTTTTTCAGCCTCCTGCTTGTCATTGTTTCAACCATTATTCTAGGAGCAGCTGTTGTATGTTGAAAATAGGGAACAGGCAATGGTACTATTTGTAGGTTGTGATCCACATCTTCTTCGTGCCTTCTACACATATGACATCACTTTGACAATGCATCCTCTCCTTATTTTATTTTCTGTTGTTGATATTGCTCTTCGCATTGCACATCATGTAAAGAAAATCACACTCTTGGGGTTTTGTTGTTCCTCATCATGAATCCAAATAGGGCCTTGGGCTACCTCCAGCAATTAAGTGGCTACAGTATGACTTAACAGAGAGAAATTTGAAGATGATTCTTTTCATAAGATCTTATTGACCTTTAAAATGTGAGTAGCTACAAAGCTATGTAGGAAAGTTTCCACTTCATGTAGTGAAATCTTGTATTAGCCTTCTAAAAGATCATCCCATATATATCGTCCTACCTCCACTGCAAGAACGTCTGCAACCATTGCCTATAGATCAAGCCACGAGAACCCTATATATCTTGAGATTTCTGACTTCCTTTTACGAACGTCTGCGACCATTGCCTATAGATCAAGCCACAAGATCCCTATAGATCTTGAGATATCTGACTTTCAAAGTTTGCCCTATTTGATCTTTAACATCAGGAGGAAGATCAAAATTCTTAGGTAGGGGGCTCAACTATTACACCCCTCAAAGAGAAGATGCAATATTGATATCTCCTCACTCTTTTCATTAAAAAAGGTATCTCCTCACCTCTGGTACCCCTTTTATGAACCTCGTCAGATGCCCTCCATTACATTAACTTGCTTAAAAAAATTCCTTTACAAAAAAGAACACTGATGGAGATAAATGATCTCCTTATCTACTAATCCTGGACTTGTCTTTGAAGGACATACAGGCATAATTAATAAATTTACAGACATTTGTTCCCCTTCTAAGAATACCTAATGTCATTTTTCAATTAAAATCCTACCTGCGGCTTTATTTATCTTCTATTAGTCTTTGTTAGTAGTGGGAATAAGAACAGAGAGAATTGCTTAGTGTTATGACTATTCATTTTGGAAAAACTTCCAAACAAGGACATTTTGGTATTCCGTCATAGATAATTGATATTGTTGGTAGGAAATGCACTCATGATGGTTAAGTTTGAATCTAGATGTAGCTGAAACAGAATATACAAGTGCCTGGTTCTTCTTTTGGAACTTTTCTATTTTATTCTTGCTTTACAAACCTATTGACTGTGTTCCATTTAGTTCTGTGTGCATAAGCTGCTCGGGTACCAGGGTTATTTAAAGAAAAAGGGAAAGTATTGTAGGATGTTAGATAATCTTATTCCTTGTTTTGATTCCAACACATCTTATCTGGCTTCTTTGTGTTCTAATTCATGGATAATTGTTGTTGCTCTTCCATGCATTTCATTGTATTGGTATAATGTGTTAGATCTTTAGCAGATGAAAACCCTGCATTTGCCATTTTGTTTATTAATTGATAATAATCTGATATGCAATGTAATTCAGGGATCTTGTATGTAAATGTTCATTATTTCTTGCACTTATTTGGAATGTTACGCTCATTATATATTGGTTTGATCGTTAGCAACCTAATTTGATTCTTCTGTTTCCTTTATATTGTCATTGAAAAAAAGGTGGAAATAAACCTCCACAGCCCCGATCAAACAAACCAACTAACTCAGCTGGT